GGGAGGGAGAGAGACAGATAGACAAACAAAACAAGAGAGAGAAAGTGCACTCTGTAAACGTTGGCTTAAAGATGTGAGGGGAATTCACATGTAGCATAACACCATGATTCTAACACCATTAACATACAGATCATGAAAAACAGAGCCGCCAGACTGAACTCACGAATTCCAGTCATGCACACGCACAAGACCACCCACAGAGAGACATGAGATACACCGCTGCGATGTGTTTGAGCAGCTGTTCTGAAGCTCAGAGCAACAAGAAAAACACAGCGTATCTAATACAGCTTAACGACTTTCAGGAGACACACAAACACACATTTACTCACACATTTAACCCATTAATCTGCAGCCTTATTACTGAAAAAATATAAATAAAAATATTATTAGGGCAGGCTTATTATTCAGTTAGTAATCTGGAGACTTATTATTCAGAAACAGTATTTAGTAATGATTAAGAATTATTTAGAAACTACTATGAATTATTCAGTAACCACTATGAAGTATTTACTTTATTTATTATTGTTACTATCAATTATTTAGACACCTCTATGGATTACTCAAAAATGCTATATATTATTATTTGGTATTTACTATAAATTATTCAGAAACCACTATTTATTTATTTACTTTTCTTTTTTGTGTATTAATTATTTATTTAACTACTATGAATTATTCAGAAACCTTTATGGGTTATTCCAAAACCACCATGAATTACTTAATGGCTACTATAAATTACTTGGTAACTACTAAGAATTATTTAGAAACCTTTATGGGTTATTCAAAAAAACACTAAATTATTTAGTGTTTATAATAAATTATTCAGAAACCACTATGAATTATTCAGTGACTACTATGGATTACTTATGAATTTAGTAATAATGAAGCAAGTGTAGATAACAAGCAATGGACATTGATGGTTAATGGAGATGACAAACTGTGTAGAGTTGTTAAGTAATCTCAAATAGACTTGCTTATGTGGTTTCTGACACTGTATGATATGCTGTCATCCATAAAAAGGGACACAAACTATGTTCCATAACTAAAAACAAAAAAGCAACAAATGCCTGAATTTTGCAGTACAAATGCTAAATTGTGAGAAATAAGCTTTGATTACTTGTTAGCCACATCAGCCTCACAGCTGCAGCGCAAAACTTGGCTGACTGACTACAAGATGCAAAAAATGTGTAAATGTGAATTTTCACTGAACTATTCCTGGTCTAATCTGCATTCTGGTAGAGCCTCTACTGCTAATTCTGGTCAAGTACATGTTAATAGTGGGTCTAATTAAAAAAAAGAACATAGACACTGTGCTATTATCCCCCCATAAATATCTCTATTAACAACAATGCTAGCATGCATACACATTAGCACTAGTCTGGATAGGCATTACCATTCATGAAAGCCAGAGTGTGCATTAGCATTCATGTTAGCGCAGCCCTGATAATCACACTAAGCAAATGCCATCAAATGTCACCATCAGCAGCAGTTTGTTTTGCTTGCAGATTGAACGTCTGGCGGAGTGATGATGTAAAACAATCCATTTTTAATGGGGAGAGAAACTGTGATGCAACATCAGAGCCTCCAGCGTGTGAAGAAGCATCTGACTGTCTTAATATTGCCTCGAGAACAGACGCTGAAGCTTTATTTGTTAGGAGAAAAAAGCCAGCCACCTAATGAATCATGCTTCGAAACGCAAATTGCTTTGTTAATGCTACTGTTAGTAAACAGTGCCTTCATATACTGCCTGACACTAAATTAGACAACAAAGTTACTATAGCAACTACGAATCTAAACTAGGAACTGTCTTTAAGAACATATGCACATGTACCACAATATGTGCGTTAGGGCGGTCGAACAATTAAAATAATTAATCACGATTAATCACAGATATATTTTTCCATTTAAAAAGCTGTGCATTTTGCTATACCTATGAATTCATTACTTTCAGTAATTCAGTAACATTATTTTCACTGTGTGAAAGAAGAGTTCACATCAACTGAACATAAAAATCACAATTTCAGTAAAGTTTCCAATTTTCCTCACTGACATCCAGAGAGCAATAGCGGCTGCATGTTCCAACCAACGAGTTTATATGCTTATATCATATATATGGTGAGTGGCTTCAACTCCTCCACGACTGTAGCCTCTCGATCTCTTTCGTACAGTTCATGGATTCTTGTTACAGTAGACGCTTTCAAGAGGAACTGTAGGGTTCCACTTTGCTACAAGCTACAGGCTGTATTAGAACAAGAGGGCTGTCTATCAAAAAAAAATATATATAAATTACCTACTGCACTGTTCACCTAACTCAGATGCAGTACTTAAAAACGGTCTGTGTGATACAAACTATGTTCCACAACTGAAAATACTAGGAGCAGATGCCTGAATTTTGCCCATTTTAATAGATAACAGTACAGATGATAAATGGTGAGAAACAGGCTTTACTTGATAGCTACATTAGCCTTACAGCTGCAGCACAAAACTAAACATGTCACCAAACATGTCATACCTGACTGACTGCATCACATTAAAATGAGTAGATGTGAATTTTCACTGAACTATTCCTGGTGTAATCTGTATTCTGGTAGAGCCTCTATGCTAATTCGGGTCAAAAACATGTTAATAGTGGGAGTAATTTTGGTCTACTGCCCATCAGCAAAAGATTATAGACACTGTGCTATTATTCCCCCTATAAATATCTTCATTAGCATTAATACTAGCAAATCATGAGTTTTTGCTTCACCCGTAAGGTTGCCATTTCAGAGATGGTAACTCACTATTTTGGTAAATGCAAAAAGAAAAAAAAACATCCAAACATTCTGCACTAAACATATATTACTGTACAAGCTATTAAAGAACAGAGAGCTCACACAGAGCTGCTGATAGTATACACACACACCCCATTACTTGAACATGCATTCAGATCAATAGAGGAATGGTGACAGCACTAAATATGCCACAATGAAAACAGACAATATGCTGCTGCTGTTGACCTGTTTCCACTCATTAATATTAAATAAGTTCATACACTCACCTCCCACGAACATTTCAAAACTGTGTGCACATGAGAGTGAGTATGTGTGTGTGTTCTGATAGGCTGGAATTCAGTGGAATCCATCCTTCAACAGTGCATCCAACTAATCTGCTTCTGTAGATGTGTAAGGCTGGTATGAATATAGTTTGCTGTAAATGGTCAATGGAGTTTGTGCAGTGTATCAGTTCTAATCACTATCTAGAAAAGGCAGGAAAGTGTGGAATTGATTTGCAGGATAAGAAGGTGTGTGTGTGTGTGTGTGCGCGCGCATGTGTTAGAGCAGACTGCTGTTTGTGATAAAAGGGATTGATTTCTGGCCAGGTTCATTCAACTCTTTCCAAAAGGATGGTAATTTCAGGTAACCAAATAAATAAACAACTGGAACGCACAGAAACTAGTGACATACCGAAAATGACTGAAACCAAAATGTGAGACACACTTGGCCAAAACCAAAAAAAAGTCTTTTTTATATGTTTTTCTTCATATAATGATATAATTGAATAACTGGTCACACTTTATTTGGATGGTCCCCTATAGATGCTCTACATGCATTTAAATCATTAACAAATTTTCTTGTGATGTTCAGTTGATCATCAATAACACTAAGGTTAGGGTTAGGGTCAGGAGTAGGTGTAGGTTTTGCCTTGAAGTTAGGGTTAGGCTTAGGGGTAGATGTAATAAACTCTTCCACACTGAACTTGAAGTTCAGTTGCATTTAATAGAAATTTAGTTGAAATGTTACTTAAAGATATACTGAGCGTTTACAAAGCATCTACAGGGGACCGTAAAAGTAAAGTGTTACCAAATAATTTACATAATTAAAATAATTTACTTTAATACCATTTTTAGTATAATGCAGACAATGCTTCAAGGGGGATGATGGCTACGTTGGGAAAAGAACTGACAGAACTAGAGAGCACTAATCTAATTTTACACAGTCGGCTAAATAATATTAAATGTGTACAGTCACATGCAAAGGTTTGAACACCCCCGTAACACATCCTCTACAGAGAACACACTTAAATATGACATTTTCCTGTCATATTAAAGGGGTTTTGCTCAGGCCACATTTTATGTTTAGTTCTTTTCTGCCAATAAGTTAAATTCAGGAAAAAAAACACTAACTGTGCATAAATGTGCAGCAGTGTGTTCTCTGTAGAGGATGTGTACTAAGGGAGTGTCTATACTTAAAGTTTGGTTCAATTATGGTGGTACTGCATGACGCGAAGCAGTGTTCATACTTTAAACTGACTGCACCAGAGTGCCTTGAAGCGAACTGAGATAGACCTGTTCAGTGGTTCTCGGTTCGCATATTCGGACGGCAGCATTCTCACTTGCTTTAGACAGAGCAATCGCACCAGCATTCGTTTTAAATGACCCAAACCTGCCAAGCCTGAAAACACCCGCGGAATGCAACATACTCAAAAACTCTCAGCATATTCTGTATGGCTTGAGTTGAGTTGTAAAATTTTGAATAAAAATACTTTTGTTTCCGTGAACTCATATAATTTTGTATGGCTGAATTCTACACCCACTTTGCGCTAATGACAGAAAAACACCTTGTTTATAGTGACATGAAAAGGATGTGTTGTGTAGCTTTGGAACTTGCTGCTCACGTTTAGAAGTGAAGGTTTCTCCAGTGGGGGCACTATCATCATACAAGTCACGTTTGAGTGCATCATTTAAAAAATAAGAAATATCCATGAACCCACACCAGCAGGATCTAATGAACTAGTAAAATCTACATTATTCATCTACAGAAACAACTGAAACGCAAACATGATTATCCAAATTATTTTATCAATTTAGCAAATATGAATGATCTAATCTTTCTCATTTTAGTGAATATTTGTTGCAACCTAAATTCATAGCCATTGATACCGCTCTAAAAATCACAGTTGTATATTTATTATATGGCTATAGCATGTTATAAGATGTCTATAAGCGGTGTATAAGTGTTTACCTGTAGAATGCGCTGGATGATGGCAGGCAGGGCAATGAAGCTGGACATGCTGTTTAACACCTTCATAGTGAGCTCCTTCAGTGCTGTGGATCAGGCATGTGTGTTATTTGTTAATTCATAAATACATTTATTTTCGGATTTTACAATTTGTTTTAAAAGGAAGAGTCTACCATAGGTAGCTTAATATCTATCTATAAAGAACAGAAACTGGCACAAAACTCAATAAAAATCAATACACACAATATATATATATATATATATATATATATACACACACACACACACACACACACACACGTTTGCTGCTTCAGTGTTGGAAAACAGGATTATAGTTTAAAATTTTGTTGTATAGACCAAAGTTTCCACTAAAATCATTTTAATCAGCGTTAAGAGCTTACTTAGCATTAAATATTTTAGTGCCCAGGCTAGTGGTTTTCAACCTGTGGGCCACAGTGGCTGAATTTTTTTATTTATTTTTCAACTGCAAAACTTCATCATGAAATGTAGACATTTCACTAAACCAAACATTTTAAACACGACAAATTATTATTGAACTGATAACTATTTGCAAGGATAAAACAATAATGCTTAACTATTTAGGTCAAGCTCATTGACTGGTCTGGCAAAATACTTGACTGTTGCAACTGGCAAAGCTAGCTAGATATGTTTATATTTTCAGTGTAAGTCAATGTAAGACATTTATCTTTTTCATTGTATAGAATTCATCCATCACAGACAAATAACTACAGACAGAAAATATCAGTAATCATTTTGGTGTTGATTATGTTGTGTGATTATACAGTCAAGTGAAACTCCATACATCTGTAAAACTCTTTTACAATGGCCGTTAAACCTTACTGTGGGCTGTGAAAGCGTTTGTGGTCAGATGTGTGGGCTGCTAGCTTCAAAAGGTTGGGATATCCTGGCCTGTGCTACTGTCAGCTCTGCACAGCTCTGTCTCTGCCCAGCGGGGGTCTTTTCTACATACACAGGATACCAGGGGTACATGTCGACACAGGATTTTATTTGATTTGATTGATTTTATATGGACATCAAATAAAATTTTTGCTGGTCATTATTTCTGGCAGGATTTTAATTTGCTGGTCTTGCAGAGTTTTGTACCAGTCAAATACCAGTATTCACCATCTAATGGGAAAAACACCCTAAAAGCCACAAATTTCAAATGTTTATTCACGGCTTCTATAATAAGTGAATTCTTTTCTGAGTACAGGGAAAAGTGTTGACATTATTATTCAGGGTAATCAACCATGCACTATAGATGCAGCAGATAGAGATTAGGTTTAAAACACCAGAATATTCCTTTGCAATTTTGAACCTCTTCTGAGAACAATACCGGCAACAAGATCAGTAACAGACAGTGACAGTGAGTAAGAGTAAAATGAGCTCCAGCTGAGAATAAGCTGTAGCAGGTTATATTTGAGGGAGATGCAGAGAGTGAATCATTCTCACGAGCAGATCCACTTTCAGACACTCCGTCCTCAGGCTGTGGTTATTAACCAAATTGAACGTGTTATCAGAGGCTCTTCCATGTAGAAAGAGTTTTAGCTGTTCATTAGACTGTTTTTAACAATTCGCTGTCTGCAGAATAAGCCTGGAGCTCCACTAAATGACTGTAGATAAAGCATATCTAGCACGGGTGCGTGTGTGCTCACCCTCAGAAGTGTGCTTGGCGTCAGGGCCTTTGAGGAGTTTCTGTGGAGACATCATGGCCTCCAGCAGAGGAAACCACAGAGCCTGTGAAGAGAGGAAGAGAAGCACAAAATAAAACTGGGTTATTTATGCATTAATATAATCGGCCTATGAATAAACGAGCACCACTTAAGACACACAAGCAGGAACCATCTCCAAAGACACACATACACACCACAAACTCATTTTTATACAGTGTCAGGACGTGGGGTCATGTACAGTAGTGTGCAAAAGACAGAAGCCACTGTTCATTCATTTAACTTTCAGTCAAGACAGTCATTATGCACAAGTTATTCATTTTCAGGAGATATTTCTGAAGAGATTAGATAAAAGATAATGCACTTACATAAGGAAAAATCAAAGGAAAAAACAGGAGCTTCCAAAACTGGAGTTCAAAACTTTATTAAATGGGACTCCTAAAAACCTGGTATATATCATTCTTGCAATTATCTAATCAGGGAATCTTGCAGCAGCAGTGCAGTGCGTAAAATCATGCACATATGGGCCAGCAGCTTCAGGTAATGTTCATATCAACCACCAGAATGGGGAAAAAAAAGTAATCAGTGATTTTGACTGACACGATTGTTGGTGCCAGGCTGGTTTGAGTATTTGTATGACTGCTGATCTCCTGGGATTTTCATGCACAACAGTCTCTAAAGTTTACTCAGAATGGTGCAGTAAAGAAAACACATCCAGTGAGCAGTAGCTCTGTAGACGAAAACGCCTTGTTGATGAAAGAGGTCAACGAAAAAAGGCCAGACTGGTTCAAGCTGAATTCCAATAACCACTCTGTACACTTGTGCTGAGCAGAAAAACACCTCAGAATGCACAACACATTGAACCTTGAGGTGGATGGGCTACAACAGCAGAAGACCATGTCGGGTCCATCTTCTATAAACCAAGAACAGAAAGCTGAGGCTGCAGTGGGTACAGGCTCTGCAAAACTAGAAAGCTGAAGACTGGAAAAATGTGGCCTGGTCTAATGAATCTCGATTTCTGCTGAGGCACACAGATGTTAGGGTCAGACTTTGATGCCAAAAGTATGAATCCATGGACCCAGCCTGCCTTGTGTCAACAGTCCAGGCTGGTGGAGGTGGTGTAATGGTGTGGGAATGTTTTCTTGGCACACTTTAGGCCCATTAATACCAATCAATCATTGTTTGAATGCCACAGCCTATTTGATTATTGTTGCTGACCATGTGCATCCCTTCATAGCCACAATTTATCCACCTTCTAATGGCTTCTTCCAGCATGATAATGCACCATGTCACAAAGCAAAAACTGTTTCATGAAACTGGTTTCATGAATGTGACAATGGGTTCAGTGTTCTTTAGTGAACTTCCCAGTAAATGGATCTGAATCCAGAAGAACACCTCTGGGACGTAGTAGAACGGGAGAGTACCTATATGTAACGTCCTAAACCGAACCCTAACCAATGTGTGTCTCTTTTTACACAAAATTTGCACGTTTTTGTCTTGAAAATACAGAAAAACAAACATACACACACCTCTCTCTGCTGTTGGTTGAGTCCGTGTGAGCTCCTGTGGCACAGACTGATGATGTCATTCAGTGCTTCCTCTACTCTGGCCAGTGGCGTTTGTTCTTCACCCCCCATTTCACTCTCCTCTTCCTCAGCCTTCTGCCCGAAAGGTTGTGAAGGCTCTTGAGTGACTGCGTGCAGCTTGTCCTTCAGCATCTAACACATACACATATAGAGCAGGCCATTAATCCATATTCTCTCTCTCTCTCTCTCTCTCTCCTTCCCTACCTACCTACCACCTACTGGGACTGAGCAGCCTCAACACATACACACAAGATCACACTAAAACAGATAATTTAGCCGATCTTTTGCATGATACCAAATGTTTCATGCTGTTACAATACTACAGTATGGTAATCCATTCAGTTTCTAAGCTTTACTACGTTCACTAGTTCTCTAGCTATAAAACAAAAGTACGTCACATGGCTAAAAACATTAGCACTAGCCACCCTGAAGCCTGAATTTTGTCTTCTTTTATCTTTAGAGATATCACTAATCATACAGTTTCAGAAGCCACACAATTACCTCTATTTGAGATCAATGAACAACTTGACAGTTTTAAGGTAAGTGTGATGATTTAGGCATGCAGTTTGCAAAGTAAGTATGAGCTACATTGGCTTTGTAGCTCCAGTAAGAAACTAAAGAAGCAAACTTTAGGCACTTAACATGTCTTGACTTTTCTGCATAATCTTGAAAACTTCAGTTACACTTTGTATCGTGTCGGAGTTTCATGTTGAATGAACCAATACAAATAGCCCAAAAATCTTGCTACATTAACTTTCGTTACAAATTAAAGGTACAGTGTGTAAGATTTAGGGGTATCTATTAGCAGAAATGGAATATACTATATGAAACACCTGTAATTACGAATCACTGTGTTTTCGCTGGCTCAGAATGAGCCCTTCATTTCAACATAGGGAGCAGGTCCTCTTCCAACACAGGCCGCCATGTTGTGCCACTATGTTTTACAGTAGTCCAGAAAGGAGAAGTCAAACACTGGCTCTAGAGCGCCTTTCATGTTGTTACTAAAATGGTAGCTTGAATCTGGTGGCGCCATGGCCTCGGTTAGAAGATGTAGAAAGAAGAAGAATCAGTGGTTGCTGCTGGTGCTGGCTGACCATTTTGAGTTGCGAGAAGTTTGAGAACCCAAATTTTGACAAATGGAAGATCATATTTATTATTTAGCTCAAAAAAGCAAGGGAAGGTGAATCCTCATCATCAAAAAAACAAAAATATGAAGAAGCAAAACAAAATCAGGACAGCCTAACAGCCACTGTAGGTCCTATAACAAGCCTGGAAAGTGAGGGGTGAGGGTGGGATATTCAGCTGGTTGCAGGCTGCAACCTCACTGCCAGACACCATGAAGTTTTGGCACATTTTATGTACTGTGCTTTATTTCTTTCCAACATGTTTAACTCTGAATATAAACAGTGATAATGAATAATGAAGTTTGTTCCCTGTAGCAGATGTGTTAAATCAAACGTACTGTAACCGCAGGTATATATAACTTTCAGCACCTCTAGCTTAAAACACACTCATGTCCATGCCTGTATAGTGTTTTCAGTGTTCAAATTTTGACTCCTGTAACAATAAACCAAGCGCTCGAGTAACTGTGCGTTCTCCTTGTATAAAAAGTGAGAGCAACCGCAGAGGTCTCTAACCTGCAGCAGGACCTGGAAGGCTCCTTGGACGTCCCCCTTTTTCTCCAGCAGGTAGGCAGTGGCCTCATGTAACTGATGCTGCTTGGTGATCTGTGACAGAAAGAAGTCAACACAGGACAGTTAACTACATTCCAGCAGGATACATGGTTCTTACATAGTAAGCCATCTGAGAGCCTGAGTACACGATAATGCTTTCTGGAGAAACAGGGAAAGCAGGTTATTGGATCTTTACTTCAACAGGAATAACATACATCACTAAGAAAACAATGAGATATCAGTGATATCAAGAACAGGGTGACCAGATATTCCCATTTTCCAGGGACAGTCCCTGTTTATGGTGTCACCACCTGCAACTGTCCCCAGGAATGTCCGTGTTTTTACCTGTGAATTAAAAACACAGCGGAAGGTCCTAAGAAAGATCTGGCAAGCAGAGTAGGTGCGCAGACATCTCGGACTGTGCTAGTTTTGGCCAATAAAGAGAAAAGTGCAGCCCCACCTCTCGTCCTCCTTTAAAAATGTCATTGTGAGAGATGGTATGTGCCAAAATAAAACAAGTTCATTCAATCACATTTAATCACAAACTGGTTATGTTTTTGTGCAATTAAAATATTGTTTTAGAACATTTTTACTCACTTGTGTGCAAGAGTTGTGTTAAAGTGAAATGCTAATTATGAAGTGAGAGTATGGATGCTAATTGTTAACGGAGCACTCTTGTTTTTTTTTTTTTTTTTTTCTTACCGGGTATGACAAGATTAATCCTGATTAAACCAACAGACTGTGGTTGTTTTTAGAGCAGCGCTGGAACTTTATTTCCCAATTTAATGATTCAGTTTGGTTTTAATAGCTCATGCAGTGTAACGGCAGCTGAGAGAGACAGAGAAAGGCCAGTGAAGCCTGTTTACTCCTCCTATCTGCTCTTTATGCAGGTAGGTTGGGTAATACTGTCGTCAAATATGTATGAATTTCATACTGCTGAGTTAACAGAGAGCATGTATATTGTCACGTCGGCAGAGAGTAAAATACAGGGAAGGCCATGATCTGCTGCAAGAAAGTGCTGTTTATTGAACACACCAGCAAAAAGGCCCATACAGAAGACTGAACTACCCGGGGAGGTCACCACTACCCACATACTTTACCCTGACGGTGACCCTCCCCCCAGAGCTGATGTGTTGATGTCATCACTTTAATCTCTACAAGCTCTACACAATGCAGAAGTAAACCCGTTACAAACTGGTATGAAAATTTTAATTTTTTTTTATATGTTGACTGCCAAACTGCAAATATCTGCAGTTTTCATTTCAGAAATCTGACCACCTTAATCACGAAATACATACATAGTTTGGTGGAAAATTACTTACCCCATATGTATCCCATCCGCATGACGCGTCTGAAGTTTTTTGTTTAGCTTGTTTAGTTTTGCACTGGAGCTATGAAGCTAAAGCAGCTAATTTAGCACCGAGCAGCAATTAGCATAGAACAAACTACACGTTTAAACCTGCGCACACACACACACACACACACACACACACACACCTCAAACTGTGTTAAATTGTTCAGTAATCACAAATAGTCTTGATTATGTCATTTCGGACACTGTATGATATTCTGTTGTCTAGAAAACAAAAGCACGTCGCATGGCTAAAAACATTAGCACTAGCCACCTTGAAGCCTGAATACTGCCCCTTTTTTAGAGATAACAATTATACAGTTTCAGAAGCCACACAATCAAGTCTATCGGAGATTACTGAACAACTCAACACAGTTTTAAGGTAAGTGTGTGATTTAGAGATGCACTTTGCAAAGTATTTGTTAGCTACATTAGCCTTATAGCTCCAGTGAGAAACTAAAGAAGCAAACTTTAGGGTTTTTTTCCATTTTTTCCCCAAACTATATATAATAACTATACCTTTGGAATACAATCCAACGTACAAAGTTATGTATGCACAAAGCAATGCATCAGTGCGGATGTTTCTATACTGTAATAAGCACAACAAAGGGGTGGAAGAGCGAGGAAGAGAGACAGACAGAGAATGAGAGAGAGACAGAGAGGGGGAGAGAGATTGAGAAAGCGAGAGAGAAAAAGTGAGAGACAGAGAGAGAGAGAGAGACAGAGAGAGAGAGAGAGAGAGAGAGAGAGAGAGAGAGAGACAGACAGAGAGTAAGAGAGAGACAGAGAGGGAGGGAGAGAGGGGAAGAGATAGAGATAGAGAGAGAGAGAGAAGGTCAGACAGGTACATTAGTAATCAGAGAGGAGTGGAAGAGACAGAATTAGAAGAGACAGCACAGAGTGAGTGTGTGTGTGTGTGTCTGATCAATTATTTATCAGGCGCCAGTGGCTGTAAACCTGTATTGATTCTCCACCCTGGAGTACAGCTCTCTCCACACCTTTAACTCTCTCTCTCTTCTCTATTCCACCACTCTCTCTCTGTTCCCCCTCTCTAACTCTGTGTACCCTGTCTCTCTCTCTCTCTCTCTCAAACACTATCTCTGTCACCATCTGTCTTCCTTCTGTATCTCTTTTCTTTCACTCTCCAACCTCTCACTCTTTCTTCTTCTCTCTCCTTTCAGTATCTGTCACTCTCATTCTCGCAGCTCTCTTTTCTTTCCATTTCCTTCTTTCTCTACATTCACTCTTTTATTCTTTCTCTCTTCTCTCTCTCTCAGCTGTCTCCTGTATTAAACAGGACACATCTCCAAACTCACTCTATTATTAAAGCTCTGCTGAGTGCCTGCAGAAGTAAAAAGGTTTCTCCTGTCTTTGCTGAAAGAAATGCTTTGATAAGTATCGTTTTAAAGAGCCCATATCACAGAAAACTGAATTCTCCACTGCTTTTTGAAAAAAGTTTGATGTTATGTGTGAACACTGTTAAAGTTTTAAAATGTACTGTTAAAATGTACTTTTCATCTCCCCTTTATTCAGTCTATAAACTGATCAGGCATAACATTACGAGCACCTCCTTGTTTCTACGCTCATTGTCCATTTTATCAGCTCCACTTACTATATAGGTGCACTTTGTAGTTCTACAGTTACAGACTGTAGTCCATCTGTTTCTCCGCATACTTTGTTGCCCCCTTTTACCCTGTTCCTTTAGTGGTCAGGACCCCCATGGACCCTCACAGAGCAGGTACTATTTGAGTGTCCGCTCACTGTCCACTCTATTAGACACTCCTACCTTGTCAGTCCACCTTGTAGATGTAAAGTCAGAGACGATAACTCATCTGCTGCTGCACAGTTTGTGTTGGTCATCCTCTATTCCTTCATCAGTGGTCACAGGACGCTGCCCACAGGACGCTGTTGGCTGGATATTTTTGGTTGGTGGACTATTCTCAGTCCAGCAGTGACAGAGGTGTTTAAAACACTCCAGCAGCACTGCTGTGTCTGATCCACTCGGACCAGCACAACACACACTAACACACCACCACCAGTGTTACTGCAGTGCTGAGAATGATCCACCACCCAAATTGTACCTGCTCTGTGAGGGTCCATGGGGGTCCTGACCACTAAAGGAACAGGGTAAAAGGGGGCAACAAAGTATGCGGAGAAACAGATGGACTACAGTCTGTAACTGTAGAACTACAAAGTGCACCTATATAGTAAGTGGAGCAGATAAAATGGACAATGAGTGTAGAAACAAGGTCATAATGTTATGCTGGATCGGTGTAAATCGAAACTCCATCCATCCATCATCTAAACCGCTTATCCTTCTGGGTCGCGGTGGGGTGCTGGAGCCTATCCCAGCTGTCATTGGGCGGAAGGCAGGATACACCCTGGACAGGTCGCCAGTCCATCGCAGTAAATGGAAACTATGCTTCAAAAAACACCTAATTTTTAATTTACTGTTTTTGTGGTCATGCAAACCAACACACTCACATATCTACCTATTCGGCCCACAGCAGCTTAGTTATGCTCATTCACGCTAAAGGTATAAGGAGTGTTTCAGTCTAGCCCAGGGGTCGGCAACATGCAGCTCTATCCTGTTGCGGCTCCACAGCAGAATTAGATTTTTAGGTAAACATAAAATAATCCTCCTTTAAAACAGAGCTCTGCCGATCGTTCTAACACAGTTTTAACAAACACTGGAGTTAATATATAACTGCTAATTCATCCCTTAACCCTGAAGGTTGGCATGCAGACTGGTCACCACAGCAACACAGACAAAAATCTCGCCTAGCTAGTAGCTAACGAAAAGAGAAAGATTTAAAACAAACATTGATAATCTGGAGACAAATGGGCTTATTTGCATTTTCAAGCACTTCAGCTGGTTTCCTGAAACGTTTAATGCGCCATGGGAAACTGTCAAACACTAAAAAGTCGCAAAGCTGCAGTCAGTTTCCTGTTTGCCAGCTTCTTGTTCGAATTGTCCCGTTCCACTTTAAACAGTGCAGCAGTTACTTTCTGGCGTCTCAGGCACCATTTAAGGTGGAACAGGAAAATTAGAACAAGAAACCGGCGAATGAGAAGCTGACTTCAGCCTCATGAATCAGTCTAATGTTAAGAGACATTTTACAGGAAACTATTCTACTTTTGCAGAGAAGTTTCCTGCCAGAGATGCGAGAAAAGTGGCTATAGCTGAGCTAAAGCAAAGCAAAGTAAATCTGGGTTTTTGTTTATATTTTTTAGCCTACACTAGGACATCAGCACATACTGGGACATATTTACAGCCAAGACAGTAAAATGGACATAAAACGTTGTGGTTCTCAAGGTGGTTTGATTTTTGTTGAAAGGACAAAATGGCTCTTCTTAACATTTGGGTTGCCGACCTCTGATCGATGGCACAGTACAGGTAGGATAAAAAAGTAGGATGGACCCTTTAAAACTTTGGACCACCATGGACACCAAGTGCCCATTTTATTAGTGTCACTGACCATATAGGTGCACTTTGTAGTTTTAAAATTACAGATTGTTGTTCATCTGTTTCTCTGAATAATTTTTAACCCCTCAGGACCCCCACAGGACCACCACCAAGCAGACATTACATGGTTGTGACACTACTGTGGAAAAGATTCAAGACATCTGAGAAAACTGTTTGCATCTTCTTTTTATTTGTAAATTTAGGATATTTACTAGTAAATATCATATAAAACTTTAGAATAAATTCAAATATGCATTACTACAGTAAAGTATAAGCATAATATCTTCTGTTCAGCAAGTTACTGCTATACTGTGAGCTGCTTATAAGAACACATTTGGTTCCTCTTCTACAGCCACTGAATGGACCTGTTCTATTCCACCACCAGCACATCTAATTTATATTCATGAAGTATAATTTAATGATGTATAACTTAATGAAGTACAATTCAATTAAGGATTGATTAGCTGAAGTAGGTACTGCATGGTAACTGTAAATAATGGGCTTCATCAGTCTTTGGAAATGGTTCAGCTAACACACAAAATCAGAATTTAATTGTATTTGCAAGATTATTTGGATTTTTTTCTAACATTTACCAAGTAAACAACTCATTGACATGTAAACAAAGTCATTCTGAGTGGTTTAATGTGAAGTGCTTCATTGTAGAGAAATGTACAGACTCAGATTTCTTTACAGTGGTGCCGATAGGAACCAGGAGTCACAATGTCTACAACACAAATATAGCCATTTTATTTACCATCCAAAACCACCAGTGAACGAACCTGCATGTGCCTCCTGAGTTTGTATGTGTAATGTTTATAAATCAAAATTTTTCCACAAAAAAAATGCCTTCAGATGTCTGGTTCCTATAGCCACCACTGTGAACAATTGTGACTAAAAAGCTTCAAATCACTCTGAATAGGTAATTAGGCCTCATTCTCCAGGTTTTTTCTTAAATTTGTTCTTGAGAAAGATCCTAAGAAAAAGTCTACATCAGATTCATGACGTGTTCTTAAACCGCAGAACTGTTCATACCTCTGTGCTCTTGAGTGTGTGTAGATTATGTCCTTACAAAATCCCAAATAAGAAAACACTGGCGAATGTCAGAATCTTTGTGAAAACTGCCTAAGTGGGTTTTAAGAAGAAACTTCTTAATAACAGTTGGTGAGTGAGATCCATTGTCTTTGTTTACATCTTATACATTTAATTATGCAGGGAGAGAGAGAGAGAGAGAGAGAGAGAGAGAGAGAGAGAGAGAGAGAGAGAGAGAGAGAGAGAGAGAGAGAGAGACAGAGAGAGAGACAGAGAGAGACAGACAGAGAGAGAGAAAGAAAGAAAGAAAGAAAGAGAGAGTTATCAGTGCTCTTACTTCTATGGTTTCCTCCAGGCGGTAGTGCTGGGAGGTCTGGAGGAAGGCTGTGACCTGGCGAGGGTTAAAACGGCACAGCAAGTCCACCAACAGCTCATACAGCTCCGGACCAAGCTTCGGCACAGCCTGGGGAGCATGACCTTCACTGGAGAGGGGAGATGGGAGAAGGGGGAGAGAGCAGAAGAGCAAGAGAGAGCAAAAGAGAATTAGAGAGAAAGAGACAGAGCGAGCGAGTGAGCGAGAGAGAGAGCGAGATAGAGAGAGAGAGGAGAGAGAGAGGAGAGAGAGGGAGAGAGAGAGAGAGAGAGAGAAAAAGAGAAAGAGCAAGAGCAAGAGATAGAGAGCAAAACAGAGACCGAGAGAGAGACAGAGAGAGAGAGAGAGAGAGAGAGACAGAGTGACAGAGAGACTGAATAAGGGGCCCATATCATAAAAAGCAGAATTCTTGTTTTTTTTTAATAAAAGAGTTAGATGTAGCATGTAAACATAGTTTCTGATAGAACATACTGATCACTCTCCAGTCCATATTTTTATTTTCAGTTTAAATTTATATTCATCGAATTTATATATTCATAGTTTTAAACCAAAATGCATTTGTGACATCACAACACCCAACTCATTGCTTTATATTCATCTATTCAGCCTACAGCAGTTTAGCTGTGTCCACATTGACGTTAAAAGGAGTGTTTCAGCCCTGAGTGATTTCTGAATGAGGCACAACACAGAGCAGCCAATCAGAGCATAGGTCTTTTGCATATATTAATCCTAAAGGCAGAAACAGTCTGCGTCACTGAAGTTAAACTCTTTAAAGCAGAGGTATGGGCCACAAGTCCACACAAAATAAAACTGCAGATTTTTTCCTTGACTTTAATAGTTTCTCAGTACAATCAAAGGACCTCAGTGTCCCATATCAGTAATATCTCTAAGACTGTGTTTTATTACTTCAGAAACAAATCCAAAATAAGAAATAAGCTATCCCTTCAAGATGCTGAGAGATGAGTTCATGCTTTCATAACTACGGGAACTTGTTACTGGCTGGTTGCCCTGCTGTCTCTGTAAATAAGCTCCAAACAGTTCAGAATGCAGCAGCCCGTGTACTGACTATAAAAATAAAATTTCACCATATCACCCCAGTCTTATTCAGCTCACACTGGCTTCCCGTTAAAGGGGAATTTCCCCAATTTTTAAAAAATCCCTGTACAAATTCAGTGATCAAGATGAAAAAAATGTAATTCAGAGTGGTCTGATGTGAAAGAGTTCATTGTAGAGAAACTTGTTCTCATAGATTTCTTTACAGTGGTGGTGACATGAACCAGGGCTCACCATGTCTACAACATACATATTGTCATTTTATTTACTATCCAAAACCACCAGTGAACCTACATGTGTCTTCTGAGATTTTAAATGCAATGTTGAAAATGTATGTGCAATGTTAAAAATGGCAAAATAGCACTGAATCTGGAAACAAAAGGTTTTCTTTGGGGGTTATTTTGCCTCATAACACCCTGCATGCACCACAGAGCCATGAATAAATGTTATGTTCTAGGCCAGGGGTCGGCAACATGCAGCTCTTCTAGTGGCCCTGTTGCAGCTCAACAGCAGAATTAGATTTTTTAGGTAAAATAAAACTCTGCTGATCGTTACAACACAGTTTTAGGCATAAAAATTCTTAAAGGCTGGAGTTAATGTAGCCTATAACTGCTACTTTAGCAACTTTTGACCCTGAAGGTCACATAGCAACGCAGGCAATAATCTCACCTAGCTAGCAGCTAAACAAAAGACAAAGAGTAAGATTTAAGACAAACACTGATAATTTGGAGACAAACAGACTTATTTGCATTAATAATCACTCCAGCTGGTTTCCCAAAACATTTAATCTGCAACAAGAAGCAGTCAAAACACTGAGGTCAGCTTCTCATTCACCAGCTTGTTTGAATTCTCCCATCCCACCTTAAATGGTACAGCAGTTACATTCTGGAGCGTCAGGCAGCATTTAAGGTAGAACGGGACAATTCAAACAAGAAGCTGGCGAATGAGAAGCGACTTCAGCCTCGTAAAAAATCAAATGTTGAATGACATTTTACAAGAAACTGTTGTACTTTAGCAGAAAAGTTTCCTGCTGGAGAAAAGCAGCTATAGCGGAGCCAAAGCCTAAAGCAGAGCAAGTAAGTCTGGGTTTTTGTTTATGTTATATTTTTTTAACCTACACTAGGACATCAGCACATATTTACAGCCAAGACAGTAAAATGGACATATGTTGTGGCTCTCAAGGTGGTTTGATTTTTGTTAAAAGGACAAAATGGCTCTTCTTAACATTTGGATTGCCGACCCCTGATCTAGGTCAAAACCTCTCAAATCTATCGCAAAAAGTCTCTCACGTATCAGACAGCATATTCTTATTTTATGTGATAACTTTGTGAGGGAGCTTTTAGAGGCATTAAACTTTCCAGATGTCTGGTTTTTATCACCACCACTGTGATAATTGTCACAATATGCTTTTCCGAGTATATTGTTGACATCATCAGTACTTAAAGAACACTTTCCAACTGCATTCCAACTGCATAACTGGTGTATCATAAAAATTTCTTATATTATCATGATTACATTTTTGCCCAGTTCTAATGTGGTGATCCTTATCTATCCCATGTTATATTTCCAAGTTAAACACAAACTTTCTAAATAAAAAGAAAAGTCCTATTTAAACCTAAATGATAATTACTATTCATTCTAATGGATAAAGAGAGGCTGGAAAATGTAAAAAGGAATTAGAACACTTTTTGGTAAACACTACAAAGGAAAACGATACAAGAACAATGGAGGATATGGACCTTTAAGTGAAACCAATCAACATCATTAGTAAACATGAAGCCAACAGGCTCACTGTCGCAAATGTTCTAGAAGACCAGACTACTTCATGTTCTCAGAATAAAGAGCAAAATGAGAGCCTTTCACGCTCTCCCTCTCACACACAGGCCATGCAGAGTGGCTTTCTCCAGGCAGAGAGGCTTCTCTTCATCACAGCTCAAAGCACTCAAATCAAACCCCAATCAGCCTCTGCTAAACGCCCCTAGAGATGGAGGACTGAAAAAAATCATCATAATTATGAAAGAGAAGGCGACGTTTTATAGGCAGCTGATTTTTTTGCCATTCTGAAGCAGATTTAATGCTTTTGTCAGGGAAAAAGTGCCATGTATGTGAATGCCTGGCTTCACAGTTCATTGATTTTAGCTGGAAACTGTCTAACTGCTGAGATATGCATTCATAAGAGTACGGTCCCATAGGATGCCCATTGTTAAAACTGCCTACTGCTTATTACAGCCGTTCTGTGCAAGTGGACTATACTGCGCGTAATGCTAATGCTACCGCCTGTGTATAAGTGAGATCAGCAAGTATGTGCACAATTGGGGCATTTTGGGGTCTGGAACATGCGCATCGTGCCTTTGGAATTTGCTACATTTGAACAAATATTTTGTTAAAATTTTAAATAAAAGCATTTTATGAAGCTCAAAATGTAATTATATTTTGCCATAGCAACATAACATATCCCTTTATGTATGGTGTTTTTAGTCCTCAGGATGAATCTTTACATTGGCTAGAAAAAGAGTCACTAAGTTAGTCTGGTTAGCTGTTGTCAATAAGTGCAATAGGCTAGCTACTCAGCAGCCATCAAATACAACGTATTTCCAAAAGAGTTGAGAGGCTGTGCAAAAAGCACTCAAAAAATTGGTTTGGATGGGGCAACAAAAGAGTGGCAAGGTTGTGTAATGCTAAATACCTGGTGGAACATGTCACAACTAATTAGGTTAATCGACAACAAATCAGTAACATGACTGGGTATAAAAAAGAGCATCCCAGAGAGGCTGAGTCTTTCAGAAGTAAACATGATGAGGGGTTCACCACTCTGTGAAAGACTGCACGGGCAAATAGTGCAACAATTCAGGAAATATGTTTCTCAATGTAAAATAGTAAAAGAAGTTGGGAATTTCATCATCTACAGTATATATCATTAAAAGATCAGAGAATCCGCCGTGATCTTCAGGCCCTCAGTTGGCAGTGAATTAAAAACCGACATGATTCTGTAGTGGAAAATCACTGCATGGTGTCAGGAACACTTCTGAAAACCTGCGTCTGTGAACACAGTTTGTTGCTGCATCCACAAACACAAAGGCAAGCTAAAACTCTACTATGCAAAGAAGAAACCATATATAAACTGTATCCAGAAACACTGTCGCCTACTCTGGGCCTGAGCTTATGATGGACTGAGGTGACGTGGAAAAGTGTCCTGTGGTCAGATGAATCAAAATTTGAAATTCTTTTTGAAACTCACTGATGCTGTGTCTTCCGGGCTAAAGAAGGGCTTGTTAACTGCATTAGTGCAAATGGCATAGATGACTTGCACATCTGTGAAGGCACCATTAATGCTGAACGATATATACAGGTGTTGGAGTAACATATGCTGCCATCCAGACAACGTCTTTTTCAGGGAAGGCCTTGCTTATTTCAGCAAGACAATGTAAAACCACATTCTGCACGTATTATAACAGTACGGTTCTGTAGTAAAAGAAACCAGGTGCTAAAGTGGCCTGTCTGCAGTCCAGACCTGTCACCCATTGAAAATATTTGGCACATTATGAAACTAAAAAATTTGACAAAGGAGAATCCGAACTGTTGAGCAGCAGAAATTCTATATCAAGCAAGAATGAGAAAATATTTCACTACCAAAACTACAGCAACTGGTCTCCTCAGTTCCCAAACACTTAGAGTGTTGTTAAAAGAAGAGATGATTTGGTATGGTGACATTTGATGTCTGTCTTACTTTCAATTAAATATAGGGTTTAAATGATTTGCACATCATAGCATTCTGTTTTTATTTACATTTTGACCAGCATGCCAACTTTTTTGGAAATGAGGTTATAGTAAAATAGTGGTAAATCTGGGAAAAAAATTTCTTTGGGCACTATTTGCCTTACAACATCCTGCATGTACCTCTAAACCATGAATGCTTATTAAAAAATTATGTTTTATGCCAAACCTCCAAGTCATCAGGCAGCATATTCATAACTATCCCCTGTAATTAAATGTCTAAATATAATCTATGTAATAAAAATGTCTCTTCAGACATTTAGCTCCTATCCCCACCACTATGAACAACTCTACGTTTCTCTAGGACAGAGGATTTCATACCAAACCACTCAATGATTTTGTGTATATCCACCAATTTAATGTATGTAACAATTTATGCAGGAAGTTTAAAAATGGCTGTAACTCCCCTTTAATGAAAACAACAAAACTTAGGTTAACTTAGGTTCTAGTAATTCTTTTAACAGGGAGCTCCAATATTACATAAAAGCATGTCCTTCTTGTCACAGCCGCAGTAGTTTGTGCTTTTTATTGTTGCTAGCCGTGCTGCTTTTCCTGGAAATATAAAAAAAAAAATTACAATAGCACAAACTCTTCCAAGAAGGCAAAAGGCACACTGCACTTTTAACACACGCAGACCTGCTAAAATCAAACTGTGGGAGATGTTCTTTGCTACAGGCTTATTTTTTAAACTATTACAGTGGAACATTTGCACCTGCTGAACTTCTCTCATACATACATGCCGTGTATCAATGTAGCTTTAATACTGACACAATGGTGGCTGTACTGATTTATGCACCACTAATATTGTGTTTATTTGTTGGCATTGCACAAAAAAAAACAGGTTCGTACCTCATCACGTGCAGCCATGGAAGTGGAGATATATTGACATCACCAGCAAAAATGGATGATAATCACAGGAAAGGTTTAACAGTGTCAACTGTTTGTTTAAGATGAGGAAAAGTCAGGAGGATGTTCTGTACTATGTACTTAATTTTCTGTTGTATAATACTGGGCAAATACTCTTGTATAGAACAAGGGGACATTTGGTGTCCATGGCTCCTGATGGGTGTCTTTTCTTCGCTTTGATGTTTTCTTAGCTCACGCCGGACGGTGTTGCATGCAAATTAGTATAATGCCATCATCTACATTACCAACACCTGAATTGGGCCCACATCAATAAAGATCTTTTACTGTGGCAGTGCTCATAGTGGTATCTATGGTAAATCACCTCCAACAATAACAATCAAAAACAACAAAAACAAGACCTTTTCATAATTATGAATAAATATGTCATAAAAATGAGGAAATCTTATCTTGATATATCTTACCACGACTTAGCATCTCATCTCAAAACTAACCTAATATCTCCTAGTAAAATAGTAGTCTCTCATAATAATGACCTAATATCTCACAATGATGAGTAAATCTCATTATGATTTAATATCTCAATAATAAATCAGTATTTAATAGTTCATAATAATTTGAGTATCTCAAAACAATCACTCTTATAACGCGCTAGTATCTCAAAATTATGACTTAATAATCATGTCAGTACCCCGAAAGTTGTCTAGATGTTAAGAGTTTGTATCTAGTTTGCATCTTATACCTTTTATACCTCAGTTAAAATCTCAAAATTAGGAATTAATCTCCCATAATAATCACAATATAATAATTATGACTTCAGTCACACAACATGCCCAGACAATACTGTTGTTTTCAAAGTGATTGACACCAACATCTCAGCCTAAACCTTAACCCCTTAAATGTCTAGGGCCCACCAGCAGGCCTAAAACTTCTATAACCTAAGAATATCTCAGCCAATTTGCACTGAAGTCTCTGTAGTAATTGAATAATAAGGCTTAATAGGTAATAAGCCTGGGATTTTAAGGGGCTAACAAGAAACAGCAAAACTGGGTTCACACAGTACCACAGCTGTGCAGTAAAAGTTATATGTTATGCAGTAAAGGACACTGAAGCAGAGCACTGGTAGTTCTGAGATCCGTTCTGCTGTTTCTCTTTCTGTGGGGTCAGGGGAGTCCATCTGAGCTCAGAATGAAAGAGCACTTTCTACCTGGAGCTACAGAGGAAGAGGAGAGGGAAGCGCAGTCAGAGTAACTCGGTAAACACAGCTGTTCTACTTTTAATGTCCTCTGTGGGCCACCGTAGGTCAGCCACAGCAAAAACAGCAGCAGATTTGGAACCCTAAAGCGGGTACACCGCCAAGACCGAGCAAGCGGTGATGTGTGTGCGTTTAGGCAGCTCTAGATTAAAGTCAAGGTCATACAGTGATGCTCAAACACCAGAACATCACTTGAAAAACAAACTGAAAATCCATTTAAAGGGCCTGCATCCGAGAGTTTTCTGAACTGTTTTCTCTGAGATCCACTTTTGAAAATTGTGAGAGTTTATGTACCAAAAAGAGTCATAATCCAGTTGACAACTGACACATGACAATTTTCCAATGTCTCTTTATTTCTCGATTTCTTAGAATTAAACAGCTTTAAAATGTTTTTTTTTTTTTTACAGTGCCATTAAAGGCGCCAGCATACTTCTTGCGAAACAAAATTTTTGGGGTTGGCCTGAAGCTGAAAGCGCTTTTGTGAGCTTACAAGCTCGCGTTCTTTCTGCAGTTTCATGCTGTCTGTCACAGATGCTCCACTAATGCAGGTGCCGCTATGACATTTCATGGTAAGTTTCATAACTAGTGGAAAATGATTCTATTACAGTTCTAACTATTAAGACAGTCGAGTCCAGAATACTGCCACCCTTTAAGGTGGAACGGGAAAATTAGAATAAGAAGCTGGCAAATAGATAGCCAACTACACCATTGTCCTCTTGTGAACCTAAATATAAGATAACCTATATGTTTTGGTGCTTACTACTAGTTAGTACTACTGAATAACAGACTTAACATCTTACATTTAGGAGGGATTAATTGTTTATTTTAAAAATGCATGTTTACCAGTAAAATATTAGTGTCTGTCAAAGCACTTAGCATACTTCTTGAGAAAAGAAGCTCCTCAAAGTAGTCCATCTTTGCTTCATGGCACATCTCTTTTTTACTGACCAATCACAGGCTTTATCGTGTAGCGTCTTCATCCACAGCCATGCGTGCAGCAGGGTAAAGGAAGCCTCTGTGCGACGCCTGTGGTTGTTCGTTTTCTCCACAATTACATTACACTGTTTGCTGAAGCTGGGCGAACGGCGCCTCAGGAAGAAGTATGCTGAGGCCTTTAGGCTGACATATGCAGATGTTTCTGGTTGGCTGTCTGGCATTGTAGAACCTCTGTTTTGATTGGCTGTCTTGTACCTCATTCAAAAAGCTGAAACACTACTTAAAAGTCTCAACATGAATGGGCAGAGCTTAACTGCTGTAGGCTGAAGAGGTGCATGTGTGTTCTGGTTTTTGTGAAATCACAAAAATTCTGACGTCAAAACAGAGCTTGCAGCTTAATTTCCATATATATATATATATATATATGTATAGTCATATGAATATCCCTGGTCAAATTACATTTGTCATCACATCCTTCACAGGGAGCAAATTTAAATATGGCATTTTCCGGCAAATTTTACTGCACACTTTTGATTTTTCTATGTTGAATTAGACATAATTGAAAAAAAATAGAATATATAATGTAACTTTTGCACAGGCCACATTTTTATTGCAGTTTTTTTACAATATTTAAATTACAGAAAACAGCAATTGTGCATTAAAATGTGCAGAAGTGTTGTTGCTGTAGAGGATGAGTAACTTACTCTTAGAAAATCAACAAATTATGGCATTTGACCGGGGCACTGGTCACTCCTTTTCACTCCTTCCCTACACATTATAAACTGTCTCACTGCTCTCTGCTAGCAGTTGGGTCTGTGATTAGGCCCAGCTGACATGCACTACTTCATAATCCACTCAAAAATCCTATCACAAATCACTACAGGCCGCTCCAACAGAGAGAGTGTGATGGACCACATCCATGTCCAGTGATAAAACTCTCACCATGGTCAGATAATATCAGCCTTTAATTAGTCTCCTCTATAGTAATAAAGTAGAGGACAGCCAATAACACTTCAGCATAAATAAACCCTGCACCACAGACAAGAGACGGCGTGCATAACTGACAAAAGACAACAGCAGCTGCAGGCTTCTCTATTCACTGTTAATATCCAAACTGGATATATATATATATATATATATATATATATATGCACATACATACATACATACAACGACTGGTCATTTCACTAAGTACACCTCCTCATATCTACACTCACTGTCCATTTAATCGGCTCCATTCACCATATAGGTGCACTTTGCTGGGCCCCCACAGGACCACCACAGAGCAGGTACTATTTGGGCGGAAGGACTAGAGGATGACCAACACAAACTGTGCAGCAGTAGATGAGCTACTGTCTCTGACTTTATATCTACAAGGTGGACCAACAAGGTAGGACTGTCTAATAGAGTGGACAGTGAGTGGACACAGTGTTTAAAAACTCCAGCAGCACTGCTGTGTCTGATCCACTCGTACCAGCACAACAAACACTAACACACCACCACCACGTCAGTGTTACTGCAGTGCTGAGAATGATCCACCACACAAACAGTACCCACTCTGTGAGGGTCCATGGGGGTCCTGACCATTGAAGATAAGCGTAAAAGGGGGCTAACAAAGTATGCAGAGAAACAGACGGACTGTTTGCTCCTACGTGGCGGTATTATATAAATCCTGTATACACACATACACACACACACACCATGCTGTGCTGAAGTGCTCATTTAATCTTGCCTTCAGGCAGTTTTTTTCTTACCTTGGATCCAGCAGGTTCTTCAGGAACTGGAACACCAAATAATCATCCTACAGACATAAAAATATACCACAGCAAAATGAGACACACAATACTTACTGATTACAGCACATCAAAACATCTGATAAAGTAAGACCATTTATTTTTCAGCTCATTATCATTATTATAGCTCAAATCATTTCATTAAGAAATACAAATTGTCTCCGCGCAATTTCCATGTCTATCACGTTCATATTCACATAAAATAGTTCAGTTTTAGGAGAACACATAAAAAGAAATGACGTAATAATAGAAATCAAAGGCTGGAAAAATGGCATTCAGGGACTTTTAGACGGTGTTGATACACAGATACAGCAGGAAGCTGAAATGTCACACCAAATGTCACATCGAGAGCCTGACAGAAGACATTTAAATAGCTTGTTGTCCCTTGAGCTCTTTCTTCTCTGTCTAGAGCTGGACACTAGAAAATGGAGAGATTATGCAAAAGAACACTTTGCTCTGGAAGTGGGAGGTGTTACTAAACAGCTGGCCGATATGAACATTGTGTCCCATAACGATCTTAACTAGACTGATATTACTGTCAGTATTTTAAGTGTAATTGTTAAACATTGTTATTTAAGACTTTGAGAACATACAAACTGATTAGATTCAACTTTGTCATTGTGCAGAGTACAGAGCCAATGAAATGCAGTAAGAAAGCCGCCGTTGTTGTGCCTGGAGGGCTCAAACCACCAACCGCAGGAGGCAGTTGTAGCACAGGAGGTGGTTTCTGTTAAAGGCATTATGGGATATCAGAATTTTCTTCTATACCATGACGCATGTCCAATTATACAACAGTTAGTTCCGACCACGCAAGCTGACCGGTTGAGAAGCGTTCGAACTGTGCTGTTATTTCGCCATAACATCACAGGTTTTTCCCAAATACTGTAGCACTCGTCTGAGACGCTGTTGCTAAGCAACGACTTTGATAGGAGATGCTCAAACTATTTGAACGTTTTTACTTCTTACTTTGCCACAAATAGAAAATGGATACTTTTAAGATCACATTTGACCGACAGCCGATTTGGTCAGACTCTGAAGATGAGACGACACTAAATTCCCAAACTGTCATCACCACTAAGCAGCTTTTCAGTCGGCAGCTGTGACAGAAAACCTAAACAACCTGGAATTAGTCAGAAATGAACTGAACACCATTCGCCAAACGTGTAGTCTGATCTTCAGAGTCTGACCAAATCGGACTGAGCCATAAAACTGCCGCAATAAAAAACAAAAAGGCTTGCTCAGTGGTGATGACAGTTTCGGGATTTAGTGTAAGGAGCTGGAGAACAAACTGCCGGCTGTGCAGTGAGTGAGCGGAGCTTGTTACTGTGACGTAGCAACAAGCTGAACTATAATTTGGCAGAAGGAACTGCTAACATTAAAACATTTAATGCCACATTCACGGCCCACTTACTTACTTTATTCATTTAACTGTTATATAAAAGCAATAGAACACTCTAGATCGTGTGTTATGGCAAATAACGTGATGTTATTTTGTGATAACACTCCCTCTCGTGTTCTATTGCTTAAGTGAAACATGGTATTTAATCATACAAGCACAGCAGCAACAAACACAATATAATACCAGAACATTTAGCTGAACAGTATAACTTTACCCTTGGCTTGATGCCATTAGTAATGTTATATAAATAACAGACTTTGGCCATTTTGGGAAAACTTTCAATTAACTAATTAATTTTATTATTATAGTGTCAAATGCATCTGAATGCTGGAGCGGCACGACGCGTTATTTTGTACAACCTGTAATGTGCATCAGTTCCAAATTCATTGTTAACATCGTTAACATATTCATATTAATGTTCTGAGTGGAAACAGAAGAGGGCAACTTGACCAATTTCCTTAACTTAGTTTCTTAGTTTTAGCAGTCGTGTCAAAGCAGTTACTAAATCAGCTTTTTAACACCTTAAGAACATCAACAAAATCAATTTTCTGACCAAAGCAGACGTGGAGAAACTCACCCACGCCTTTATTTCTAGCAGCATTGATTACTGTAATGGTCTCCTACCTGGCCTCCCAAAAAAAACAAATCAAACAGCTTCAGCTGATTCAGAATGCAGCTGTCAGAATCTCACTAGGAGTAAAAGAAGGAAACGCATCACCCCCCAATCTTAAATCCTTACACTCGCTACTAGTCTGTTACAGAATAGAGTTTAAGGTACTATTACAGGCCTATAAATCGCTCAGTGGTGTAGGACCAGCATATTTATCCGATCAGCTGCAGTGATATGAGCCGAGCAGAACTCTCAGATCATTAGGGACTGGTCAGTTAGTTCTGCCGAAGGTAGGAGAAGCAGAATTTAGCTACTATGCTGTTCTTAAATGGAACCAGTTGATAAAGAGCATTAGAAGAGCCCCAACACTGGACACTTTTAAATCCAGGCTGAAAACATTCCCGTATGAGCAGCTTTCAGCGCAGTTTAGAACATGGTTAGCGTTATCTTAATTTCTAATTTAATTTTTAATTTAATAATTTCTATTCTATTGTATTGTTTTAATCATGCTTTTAATTTCTATTCTTGTTTAGTTTTTTCTTTCTGTATTTGCTCATTTGTAAAGCACTTTGAATGACAGCAGGGTATGAAAGGTGCTATATTAATAAACTTGCCTTGCCTTACCTATATATACACATTGAAGGATAAATATATATGAATTAGGCTGTGAAAATATCATCATCATGGCTTTTGCATTTAATCGCATTTCCCCCCAAAACACTGCATTCAAGCCAAGAGGTAAATCTTCACAGTCTGCCAGCGGCGGCGTTAGTAGTGTGGAAATTCTCATAGCAGCCGTAAGTGAGGTGTGTGTGAATAAATGCACTGTTTATTTCTTCCTTTCGTCTCTTCCTGGCTACGGCACACACACACTTTCACTATCTGACTTTTCAATTAACACCTCTCAGCCAGCGCCCAGATGATAAGGCAAACCCAATTACACACAGCGCTGCAGATAGGGCCTAATCCGTTTACTGACTCACTCTCACACACACACACGCACACTCGTATAACTATCGTTACAGGGGTTCATCATCACTGGAGCTGAAAACTCCTATTACTCCACATAAACCGGCCAAAAATCAAACTCACAGTTTTCTCTCTTACTACAATTGTAGTCAACCAGTCAAGGCATGTTTGGTGTTCTTTAGTTTCACACTGGAGCCGCAAGGTTAATGTAGCTAACAAGTAAAGGGTGTTTATACCTCATCAATTAGCACTGTGTAAAGTGCACGCCTAAATCACCACATCTTTGCCTCAAACTGTGTCAAGTTGTTAAGTCATCTCAAATAAACTTATTTACGTGGTTTTTGGCACTGTATGGCATACTGTTATCTATAAATACGTACAAAAAAGTATAAAGTTTTTTGCCTCTAAAAGCTCCCTTACAGAAAAGTACTGCATAAAATGATGAATACGCTGCCCTGTTGACTGAACCACTGTTTTGCTATGGATTGAAGGCTATACTATTGAAGACTTTCACCTTAAAAGGGGCCATATCCTACATTTTCCTCGTATTTTTCCCCTGAGGTCCACTTATAAGACAATGTCATGGCTAGCCATGATTCATTTTTGCATGACCATTTTCTGAACTCAATTTATCCCTTAAAATGAAGCACACTGTTCTGTTACTGTACTTTTAAGGTTGATATGAGTAAATTACCTCTGCTCTGATTGGCTGCCCTTCAGTTCAGCTGAAACGCACGCACCTGCTCTGTTTACTCTCCCAGACACACTGAATCTCAGACCACAACAATGAAGGAGGTACAGGAGCTGACTGACTGTCTGACTGACTGACTGTCTGACTGTATATCTGTGTCTGTCTCACTGAGTGACTGACTGTCTGACCGACTGCATGGCTGATTGTCTGACCGACTGCATGACCGCATATCTTACTGTATGACCGCATGTGTTACTGTATGACTGCATGTCTGACTGTTTGTCCGACTGACTGACTGACTGACTGTCTCAAATGCACGTGTGTTTCTGACAGGCAGAGGACATTAAACAGTGTTGGGGTAACACAGTACAAAGTAATATGTTACAGTAATGTGATCACTTTTTTCCAGTAATTGAAAAAGGAATTACATTACTGTACTTTTTATTCTTACTGTAATGATCTTCTTGCTTTAATTTATGTGAAGCGTATT